GGGGTACCGGGTTCGATCATAGCTGCGAGCCATGCGCCTTGCGTTGGTTTCGACAGTGGTATCAGGGGGCCGACCGTCCAGGGAAATGGCAAAGAAATTACGTAAATTTGCCTAGACAAACCACACAACAGCTAGGGGCTGCTGGGGTTGGTTCTGCAACGGGTAAGGGATACGCAACTAACCTAGTACTATATGTCCAATACGTATGAAGACGTAACAAAGGGTTGTTGACCTTTATTTTTTTTTTTTTATTGAATGTTCATTCGATGGATGATGTGATCAGCACCACGACAGCTGCCGTTATTTTTTGTGCCGTTTACTGACACCCACTGCTGGGTGGGTCAGCCTAAGAGTATTTCAATAATAAACATTTCTCTCGATGCGGTTTCGGATCCAAAACCATGGGTCTGGTAGCATGTGTCTAGACCTGGCGCTACCTTCAAGTAGGGATTAAACATTACCCTTTTCCACGCCTTTAGGCGTTTAGGGAATAGGGCGCTAGACATTCCTCTCTAGGCGATTTCGTATCCAAAACCATGGGACTGGTAGCTAGCGTCTAATCCTGGCGCTTCTTCAACTTCTGATCAAAATAATCTTTTCCCGCCTTAAGGCGTTTTGGATATTTGGCCTTAGATCTATATTTTCATACCAAAGGTTACTCGTTCCGGTCAAAATGGACGCTAGGCAGGGGCACTGTTCAGAGCCGAGGCAGATATTTTGCTTCTGTCGGACGGTGCCTGATGCCCTTTTGCTCCAATTGTAGACTGTATATAGTTTCGTCGTCCAGCTTCTGAGTTGAATGCATGGCTTGACACTGTGAGCTGCGGATTTCATTTGGAATGTTTTTTCGACTGTGACCAACGTGGGGGTGTGAATTTTAGATTAAGAAAATGGCGCGATGTCTGTCGTGCAATGTTGGTGGTACCATTATGTGATTAAAATTGATCGCGTGGGCAACTGCTGATCTGTTGGTGACTTCTGCTACCATCAATGATGAACTGCATTTCTAATGTCGGACTGTTTGTGTTAGCACTTCGGATGGCTACCGTATGCTTTAATGCGAGTGTATGTTGGATATTCTGAGACAGTCTGTGATAAACATTCTGTGTGTTTTTCGCTGGCACAGGAGCGGAGCAAAGATGGGGTGGCCCGTTTGCTATGAAACTGAAACTAAGACTACCACCAGACTACCAGACTACTCGTTGGGGGGGGGGGGTGGAAGATGGGGCTTGTCAACATAATACCCACCATCTTGACTTTCCATGACGTTATCTGGTACCCATTTAAGACTGGGTCGACCTAAGAGACAGATCACTTTTGAAAACAAATTCAGCTCCGTCAGGACTTGAACCCACGACCTTCGGATCTGCGTCTACACAACGTCGGCTCCGTCAGGACTTGAACCCACGACCTTCGGATCTGCGTCTACACAACGTCGGCTCCGTCAGGACTTGAACCCACGACCTTCGGATCTGCGTCTACACAAGGTCGGCTCCGCGGCTTCTGATAACTCAGTAAATACTGTATTGATTTACAATAGCGCATATTTGGGTATAATTATCAATGAAGAGTGTATCCTGGCAACCATTTCAAGTAAGAAGCGGGAAATCCTTACAAATTCTTTACCACGACATATGAATCAGAAAGTGAACATGCCTTTTCTTTTTTGTTTTTTATTCCTCTGCAGACAAATTCCTGAAATTTGTGAAAATGATTTGGTGCCTACAATTATTTACCAGGCTTTGGAATTTAATATTATAAGCTGCCCACTTTAATAAAATGTTATTTACCATTCTCAATTGTCACTAAAACCCTTTTGCTTATCGTGTCATAATAATAATTATTATTTTTAGATCTTCATCTGTTCTCTCATATTTTGTATATCATCATCATGTAGCAGGTCCTTTGCAGAACGTTGCTCTGATCACAGCCTGTTTGAAAGAGACTCGCTCTCTCGCAGCATCTCCCTCCTCGTGCACTTTCCTATTCAGGTTGTCATTTGAATCCTCCTCTGTCCTTCTTCGTGCATCTTGAAGTTGTTTTTTACAAGGCAGTTTGTGTTACAAATTGTCACGTTTATTCTTCCAATTTTTTTTTTTTACTTGTCCAGTGAAAGTTTGGATCTCTTTGATTTGACTTATCGTCAAGTATGAATGAGTAACTACGAGGCGGCTTCAAGTAAAACACTTAATAGTGTGATATAAATTACATTAACCATATCATTATCTTGTAACCTACAAATACTGTTGCTAAAGATGCCAAGAGTGTTAAGTAGGTGACACCACATTGCAGACAAACAATGACTTTATAATGACAGCAGTTTAAAGGTGGTCACCCCACTTTTGACATGCACTAACCTGTATCTACATTCACTCCTCAGAATGTGTCTAATAGACTAGTAAACAAAGAGTCGGTTGGGTTTTTGTTGTGAAAGAGAGAACAAAATAAACAATCAGTAATTCGATTCTTTCTCCAGCTCGGTTACAGTTTGTATAATCACCGTCGAAAAAACCTTCAGTAGAATTAGGTCCTGTTCAGTCGGTCTAAATTAGTATGTCTAAATTACCTTTTCATGTGTAATCATTCCTTTACATATATAATTAATTCCCTATGACAAATAAAAACATACACACATAAACACACATATATAAACACACACGTATATGTGTGTGTACAATCTCATTTATTTCATTCTATATATACACCCGTATATATGTGTGTATGTGAGAGAGTGTGTGTGTGCGTGTGTGTGTGTGTGTAAAATCACCTATTACAATTACAAGAATTCATTTACATGTGTAATTTCTTTAGATGTATAATCATTATTTTACAAATGTGATAATTCCTTAACATACATAATTATTAATATACAAAGAAAATCCTTTCTTTACAAATATAATTATTTTTAATGTCATTTTTTTACATTTATAGTCATTACTTTAACAAATATAATTATCAAATGACAGATATAATAATGTGTGTACAGTAGAATAACTATACATGTATCATCGTTATATTACAAATATATTTTTACACTTTAAATGGAATATCATTATGTTGCAAATAACGTCATCCATTTCACATATTCAGTCCTTCTTCTTCCGCCAATTTCAACCAATGCAGACACTTCATGAATCATTATTTTTTTATTGCCTTTTTAAAAAGTTAGTTGTGTGTCTTTTTACAGGTCTTTGCACAACCATTCCCAGCATATTTTTTTTTTTTGGGGGTGTGATTTTACTAGGCAAATTTACGTTCACTAGTTTGCCATTGCTTCCTCGGCGGTCAGCTCTCATTACCACTCTCTAAAACAAAGCAAGGCGGTTTGATGCCAAATCGCCCGTTGCTGGAATCAAACTCAGTACCCCGGAGTTACGACGCAGGTTCGCAACGCTTAAGCCACAGGGGCCGACAGTTGCTACCTAAAGGGTAATGAAACAGCACGGAAAATAATCAACTATTTAATGATCTACGGCGTTTAATGTATGCAGTAAAAGTTCACACTGAGACACTAGGCTTGGAATTAAATTGTAAGTAAAAGGAAATTGTGGTTGTGATCAAGAAGAAACAAATATAACAGTGTGAAATGCATACAAATGCTAAAATTCTTAAGCAAGGTAATAGACACAAATATTAAGGAATAATCATAACATATGATGCAAGATGCCATGCATAAATCAGAACAAGGATCGGTATGGCAACAGTGGCCTTTGGTAAGATGCAACAGATTCTAACTAACACGAAGATGTCACCTGCAGTGAGAACAAGAGTGTTACAGTGTTATTCAGAACCCATAAAATCGTCATCCCCTTGTGGAATGTAGTTTATCGTTATTTTGAAGCCCCAATCCGGGCTCTTGCCAGGGGCCGCAATATTGCCTGAAGGCTGAAAGCGGTTTCCGGACCTCTCCGCGGGTGATCTTCATACACAAGGTGGAACTTTGTGTCATCGGGTGTTTATCGCTCTGTGTGATGTCATAGTGGGGTAAAATGTACTACTACAAATAATTTACAGAACCTGTATTGTTACATTCATGTACAAAAAATGGACAATAAGTAAAATATCTGAAAAACATGTACTCGCAGCAAGAGATAAGGTTTCTGAGAAGAATGCAAAGAATATCATAGAAGGATAGACAAACCAAGCAGTCCTCGTGGATACAGGTGAAAGTCGTAAAGTTAGTATTACAATTGGACATAGAAAGTCAATGTTTTAGGACATGTAATAAGAAGGAATAGACTCGCGAATTCGGTAACAACTGGCAAGATTGATGGAAAGAGAGCAAGAGGAAGGCAAAGAGACAAATACCTGGGTGACCTGACCAAATGAATTGGGCGAGACAAAAGCATTGAACTGATCCGGGATTCTGGTGATCGTGTGAGATGGTGAAACAGGACAGCCTATGCTCACCGGTACGTCACATGATGATAATGATGATGATGATGAGTGATCTGCACTCGCTACAGTAAAAAAAAAGAAATAGATAGTAAAAATTAGTGGCCATCTCCATATTGAAGGTTGACTGCAGTGCACCTACTATTGTCTTTCAAAATACTATAAGGTGCTGTCCCAGTCTCTTCCACGGTATCATTCTCGTATCAAAAGACGATCTGTTTTATAAGCTTTTATTAACTTCGCTTTTGTTTTTGATATGCCGTCTGCCTAGGAAATCATACCCTGGTATCGTGAAACTGTGAAATGCTGTCACTAACTTTAAAGCAACACAACGGCTTCACGACATAGCATACTAACCATTCTAAAAATGTAAGAGCCAAGTCAAACCGAATTCAAACCTTGTGTGGGGTCAGTCTATAGAATTTACAATAACCCTTTTGCTGGGTATTCTTTTTTTTTATACTTGTTTTACTTTAACTTCTATGAACGCTCGTTCATACCAACAAATTTATTTCTTTGACAACATTTTTTAATCTTTTCAATGAACATTTCAGGAATTGATCAGGTGTTGAGAAATTAATGGCGTCACTAGTAACGTCTGGAGGTCAACGCTTGGCCTTGGCCCTAACAGCCGGAAGTCCGTACAAGGATCTGACAACCATGTCAAAGTAGCAATCATCGTCCACTGTGGCGCTCACTCGGGCGTAGTAGTTCATGAATTCCTGTAATAAAACATCATTTGTTTCGTTAAATATTAGCATTTGCAATTAAACGTCAATTTAACATAACATGATTTGTTTCGTTGTGTCTTTTTAATATTCAGTTCATTGACAATTTTCAATTTCTTGCGTTAATTTGTGTATTATTATTAAATTCAGGTTTATATTAACCTAACAACGTTTGTTTCGTAAGACGTTTCATTTTAAGGTAATTTTTAACCACATATGGCTTGCTGCTTGTGAGTAAGTATTTTCAGTTAAAGGTTGATGTTTACATAACACGCATGGTTTTTATTACCAGTGCTTTTCAGTTTCATGGTAATTTTAGCAAATTATTTATTTCGTTATGTGTTTGTACTTTCAGTTAAAGAACAGTTTTAACATTATATAACTGGAGGCTACAGAAATGTGCATGCATATATGGTGAGGATGGATACCGTTGAAGAAAAACAAGTACAATAAAGGCGTCTTGAAAGAAATAAACTCTAGAGGGCACCTGATTTCCTGCACAAGAAGGAGGCAATCTACAATCGTTGGTCACATCGTTAGTGAGAATGGAAAACCGGGAGTACGTCATAACAACCAACAATTTGAAGGGGAAGAGAAACAGAGGGAGGCCAAGGAAAAATATGCTAGACATACTGAGTTTGGATGATTATCTGTGTCAAAATGTATGAAAGTATACAAGACAGAAGGCAGTGGAATGACGACTGCACGCCCCATACGAGATAGGCGATAAAGGACCTTTCTCCACACAGTTAGAGTCATTGGGCAAATAGGGCGAAACCTATATTTTATAGACCAATCAGTACTCGATGGGTGATGTGGTCTACGTCATGCCGACGGCCTTTACTTTCCATGACTTGACCTGGTACCCATTTAAGACTAGATCTATCAGGAAGCTAGTGTTATTTTTGGAGAGAATAAGTTCGGTTCCACCAGGACATGTACCCATGACATCAAGAACAGTAGGAGAGCGTCTCGCCGCTACACCACCGTGGCTTCCTACCTCAATTATCAAAAGATGACTAATTGAACGCGGGCTTAAATACCAATATGAATGAAGTTCAAAGGAGGCTAATGAAAAATATAAATGAATCAAAGCCAATCGGGAAAGTCACATAGATACGAAAATACCATATCTTTTGTATTTTCATTTCTTTGTGATGTTCCTTGTTGCTTATACGCTTGTAATTCTGCTTATTTATTTATTTATTCATTTATTGTTGTCCATTGATAAAGGTTCTAATCAAAACGTTCGGTTATATCTCAAATTTAGGTTATAATTTAGTTTATACTTTTTTTTAAATCAACAGCCATAACGTCCCAGCTGAATACGATGCGGAAGAGCAAAGTCACACTGTAGTGAAGGTCAGTATTTATAAATCACTGGTACTGTCTATTTTCTTATAAGGATGTGACAGTTGGACTCTCCCTGTGGAAATAGAAATGTAAAGGCTGTAGAATCATTTTACGAGTTAGTTATTTAGAACACAAAACTAACAAATCTGTCAGAGACTAAATATACACATTCGCAGAACATCGGCAGCCTCTCTTGGGAGGGGTGAAACGTCGTAAGCTAGCTTGGTAATTATAGGAATTACCCTGTTGTTGTGATGTGGGGTCTATTTTCCCTTAAATGGACAATTATAGGAATTACCCGGTTGTTGTGATGTCGGGGTCTATTTCCCCTTAACTGGACAATTATAGGAATGACCCGGGTTCTGTGATGTCGGTTACTAATTCTACTAAACTCAGGCGGACCATATGAGGGTTTAAAAAAAGACGATTAAGATTATATTAAGATTCAGATTAGATTTACCTCTCTGGTCACTTCCCCGTCAGGATCTCCGGGCGTGTCCAAACCGTCCAGAAAATACCGTAAAGTTTGTTCTTCCGTCCACTCACCGGACAAATACTTGGGGTGTTTCCTGGCGTTTGCAGCGTACACAACTGAAATAGTACGGTAACATATGTTACACACTTTATCTGATACATTTCTGGCCTTTACAGCGCACACAACTGAAATAGTACGGTAACATATGTTACACACTTTATACTTTATCTGATACATTTCTGGCCTTTACAGCGCACACAACTGAAATACTACGGTATCAGATGTTACATAGCTCACACTTTATTTGACAAATACTCATAGGAGATTTCTGGCCTTTACAGAGCACACAGCTGAAATAGTACGGTAGTCATTATCACAGACTAAACAGTCTACTTTTCGAGTTCACTGGATGTAAAATATGATGGAATATTTTTGTTGTTTGACCACTCCTGGACTCTAGCCCTGTCCCAGAACCTTGGTGTTGCCCGCACATCCGTTTTACACATTTGACTCATTTGTATACAGACTGTTGGTTCCTTGCCTCTCTGGCCGATTCACACCGACTGCGAAAGGGATGGGGAGATCTTATTTCCTTTTTAATTTTCTAAGGGCCATGAAGTATTCAGTGGCTTCAGTCTTGTTTTAGCGCTCAGTATGAATATAATAATATGTGTTCAAGGCAAATAATTATATATTTGATACCAAATACCCCTATATAGACAAATACATAAAAATAGAGCGTCTTTACGTGGCACATTTTCTAGCGAGCCGATAGATTAGACATAACCCTCTAAAACAGGAAAAAAAGGGGGGGGGGAGGGTGTTCAGAGAAATTGGGGAAGTGGATCTCGTTGTGTCTAAGCTGCAGACTCCGCGCCCCTGGCAATCCGCGTACCTCAAATGGGGTACCGTTCATGTCAAGTAGTTGAAACCGCCCAGTTTTATAACGGCCAAAGGGAGAGAATCTTTCGCAGACATGTCTCTTATCTGCTCCTAGTGTCTGGCAATTTACTAATGGCAAATTTAAACATTTTAAAAAAAGTCAAGGACCCTTTTCCATACTTTCAGGCGTCTCTGGCATATAAAGCTAAATCTATATTTTATAGACCAATCAGCGTTTATGGGTGATGTGGTCAGCATCACACCGACCGCCTTTACTTTCCAGGATATTGACCTGGTACCCATTTAAGGCTGGGTCGATCTGTTGAAGAAATAAAAGGTTAACCCCCGTTCGGATTTCAACCAAGACCTTCGAATCCGCAGGATGTAGCGTCTACCGCTACAACTCGCTCTCAAATTGAATACAGAATAATCAAGCACTGGATTGCAACCTGTTCCTTCTCACGGTTAAAATTAGATGCATGGAAATTAAATCTGCAATCAGGAGATGGCTAAATAATTACTGGAGAAATGCAAAAAGGTTCAACAGAAGAGTGGAGAAACCACTGGATAGATTTTTTAAAAAAAACATAAAGACTATTTCTTGAAAGAAATTCAGATTCAGGTTGTTTGCTATAGAACTAGGCATCTTTTGACAAAAAATATCCTAGCACTCGTTTAATGGAGCCATTTCTTACGTTGTGATATACTGAGGCAGTTGTGACGTTAGAATGTCATTTAGCAAACAGGTGTTTGTGTAACACATATTCACATTATGTTGTTATGTGGTAAGGATAGTGCCTGGTCAATCACCCGCGCATTAGATAGCTAAACACGCATTAGATGTATGCGATAAACAGCATTCTATCTGCTGTGGTGCTGCAGTCTGTTTATAAACTGGGTATACATTGTGTTGCCATGAGGGATATTACCTGGGCGCTTTCAAAGAATTTGGCTTCTCTTTATTAATTCGGCTGTGGTTTCGGATTTCCAGTTAAGGTTTATTTTTCTCGAATCGGGATTTCAATATTTATCCCAGCAATTGGATTGCTGCACTCTCACCTGGGAGCAGTAAGGTGATGAAAATTCAGAGACATGGTTAAAACCAACAGCCTGCACAGTTTTTGCCAACTCTCTTATAGCCCTAAACCCTCAAGCAAAGCAACCCCCCCCCCCCCCCCCCTTTTTTTTCCTTCATCATCTGGTCCCCAAACAGCTCAGTTAAGGTAAGTTAAGGCCCGACATAGTAGATTCGGGGCACGACCATAAGCGCTCCGTCCTTCATCTTCAGCAGCCAGGTCAGAGTTCCAGTCTCTATGGTGCCAGTAGTAGTGTGAGTGAACACCCGTCTTGTTTTTTCTCGGAATGTTTCAGGTTGTATTTTTATTCAATGGCGATAACCATGCTATTTTTTTCCCTGGATTTGTTTGTTTTAAATTAACGTTTCCTTTCATCATCGTCATCATCGTCATCATCAATTTATTTTTCCGGTGTTAAGCGTTGTGGGGAGGAATAGTTTTCGATCCACTGCTTGATCGGCAGAAGTGGCTATGTCATTATGTGTCGATTTGGAAGCTCTTTAAAGTCGTCAGTCCAAAGTCTCCTTTCAGCCTCTTGATTTCACTTCCGATCTTTACATGTGTAGCGCCCGCGGTGCTAGTTGACCAAACATTTGATCTTCTGCTTCTGAATGAATTTGCTGTATGGTGTTGTTCCTACAGGCTGTCTGATAATATTATTTCTAACTGTCTCTGATAGTTAAGTTATCAGCTTTTTTCAGGCATCACATTTCATATTTATATTAGTGGCGAAACAAAAAGGCTGCTCATATACATTTCCACTTGTCTGACTTCAATCCTGATTTGATCCCGTCAGGTCACTTCTCAGTCATTCTTGGACATCTTATTGCAGCTACACATGAACAGATCTGATTTGATCCCGTCAGGTCACTTCTCAGTCTTTCTTGGACATCTTATTGCCGCTACACATGAACAGATCTGATTTGATCCCGTCAGGTCACTTTCTCAGTCTTTCTTGGAGTCTATTGCCGCTGGACAGATCTGATTTGATTGTCTTTCTTGGACATCTTATTGCCGCTACACATGAACAGATCTGATTTGATCCCGTCAGGTCATTTCTCAGTCTTTCTTGACATCTTATTGCCGCTACACATGAACAGATCTGATTTGACAGCAAAAGTTCGCTTTAGGAGAACATGGGTTAGTGACATAATTGACTTTCTACATCGACATGCAATAAAGATTGCTATTGATACCCATTAAGCCATGGATTGCAAACTGTTCCACCCTACGGCCCTTAATGGGGAAATTGCTGCTAATGACCATGATGTTGACTAAATTTCGAAATGACTCTTGTGAATGATCTTGACTGTCACTGGTAGTATAAAGCTAAAATAAATATGCTCTGTATAAGATGTTTCTTCCCGCTGTCATTGCTAATCTTTACTTTAAAATATCTTCACCCGAAACTTGTAAGGTTGAAACGGGTTTAAATAGCAATTACCCGACAAGATAGGAGAAGACCGATGGCCTGATGTGTTCTATCTAATCTTTAGCTTGTCGAGTTCCCTACCCTACCTCACAACTCATATGTTATTTCTGTAATTATTTTTTCTTCAAATTAAACTGTCTACGCTGGGGGGAGGGGGGGGGGGGCGTTTATGTCTGTATTTAGAAATTTTTATGGCACTGGAGGACATGGGGTTTTCAGTCTGAGGGGCTTAGAATCATATAGCCTGTTTATTCACCTTGAACTGTGCAGGTTATGATTTTATTTTTGCCCCAGAAAAACGAATTCTATCATGTTACTGCAGATTCTTCCGCTACTTCTTTTCCTTAGCATTCATCGGCTGTAGAACCCGGCAAAAAGCTATGCTTGTTCGTCCACTTCTGGACTATAGTCTTATTTTAGAACTTGAATTTTGCGTGCAAATCCGTTTTTCAGATCTGGCTTTATTTGTATACAGACCGTTTATTTATTCCTTTTTAGGCAGATGCACTCCGATTTCAAGGGAAGAAACATTCCTAATTCGTCGACTTTTACGGCATGCTTGTTAGTTAGCACGGGTTCTATTCTCCGACAGTTAAATATAATTATGTATTTGAAATAATATTAAATATCGAATTAAATACCTAAAAGGAGGACGTCTGTATATGGTTAGGAGGACCAGCACTGGTGCCTTACGAATGCTCTAGGGAGTCAGGTTTAACCACCCTAAGAATTATATTTGGGGGAGGGGGAGCTCATTTCACACACCCCCCCCCTTCCCCCCCCCCCATTTTTTTTCAGGGGGGGGGGGGCGCTCAAGGCGCCTGAGCTGCCAGCTTCCTGCGCCTACGTCACCCTGTAATATTCCCAAACATAGCAGTAGATATATTGCAGTCAGCTTTGCTTTGTGGAGACAGGAACGCATATTTATTAATAAAGAATTTATCCAATATTAATAAAGACAGCAACAAATATTAATAAACATAATACCAAAAATTAATAAAGACAGCAACAAATATTAATAAACATAGTACCAAATATTAATAAAGACAGCACAAAATAATAATCAAGACAGCACCAAATATTAATAAAGACTTCAACAAATGTTAATAAAGACAGCACCAAATATTAATAAAGACAGCAACAAATATTAATAAACACAGCAACAAATATTAATAAACACAGCAACAAATATTAATAAACACAGCACCAAATATTAAAAAACACAGCACCAAATATTAATAAACACAGCAACAGATATTAATAAAGACAGCACCAAATATTAATAAACACAGCAACAAATATTAATAAACACAGCAACAAATATTAATAAACACAGCACCAAATATTAAAAAACACAGCACCAAATATTAATAAACACAGCAACAGATATTAATAAACACAACAACAAATATTAATAAACACAACAACAAATATTAATAAACACAACAACAAATATTAATAAACACAACAACAAATATTAATAAACACAACAACAAATATTAATAAACACAACAACAAATATTAATAAACACAACAACAAATATTAATAAACACAACAACAAATATGAATCCAGCTGCTGTTACAAGGTTCCCACACATGTCACTACAGAATAAATCTAGCTCCATGACGGCCTATAAATTTTACTTTGTGTTGTGGCTTTCCCTGTCTTTCATATCTACACCTACAGAGAATCTGACCCCAGCAATAATAACACTTCTGCCATTC